GAATCACGGCTAGGACCCACGCGGACTGGACCTCTGGCTGTGAACTACCGGTTATAAGAAAGACAGGAGTGTGAGTCTCGTGGCGGGAGAGGGGAGATGTGGGACGGACCTTCCCAGGCCCCCCTCAAGAACCCCAGCAAGGGCTTCAGCAGCAGCTCCCAGAAAGGGAGGAGGAGGGGCACCGGGTCTAGTAAAGCTGAGGGGAGACCGGGGGGGGGGACAGAGACCAGAGAGAGAGGGGGCCAGAGACCCACAGAGAGGGGGACAGAGACCAGAGAGAGGGGGACAGAGACCCAGAGAGAGGGGACAGAGACCAGAGAGACAGGGGGACAGAGACCCACAGAGAGGGGGACAGAGACCAGTGAGAGGGGGACAGAGACCCAGAGAGACAGGGGGACAGAGACCCAGAGAGAGAGGGGACAGAGAGCCAGAGAGAGGGGACAGAGACCCAGAGAGAGGGGGACAGAGACCCAGAGAGAGAGGGGAACAGAGACCCAGAGAGACAGGGGGACAGAGACCCACAGAGAGTGGGACAGAGACCAGAGAGAGGGCGGGACAGAGACCCAGAGAGAGAGGAACAGACACTGAGAGGGAGAAGGGGACAGAGACCCAGAAAGCGGGCGACAGAGACCTAGAGAGAGAGGAGCACAGACCTGGGGGGGCAGACAGAGACCCAGAGAGAGAGGAATAGAGACTCCAAGAAGGACGGGCAGAGACCTTGCCGGCAGAGGGAGGACGGACACCCACAGAGGAAGCCCGAGTCCCAGAGAGAGGGACACAGTGACCCAGAGAGAGACAGGGCCAGACACCCAGAGAGAGACAGGGAGGCCCAGAGAGAGGGGGGCAGGGACCCAGAGACCCAGAAAGAGGGGAGGGCAGAGACCTGGAGAGGAGACCACCAAGATCGCAGAAAGCGGGGTCCGGAGACCTCGAAAGCTCTGGGATAGAGCCTAGGGGCAGAAACTCAGGCCGAGACCGGGGAAGACCCACGAACCCACGGGCTGGGGGGCAGAGGCGCCCAGCCATCGGCCGAACAAAGGGGCCCGCGTCCCCTCCCCCAGCTTCCCACAACCCCCATCGGGGAGGGGCTGTCGGACCCGGGCCTCCCCCGGCGGGCTCCGGGCCCACGCCCTCCCGTCCCGCTGCGCTGCCGGCCTCGCTCCGGATCCTCTTCCCGGTGATTTTCCGGAGGCCGGGAACTGGGAAAAACTTTTTCCAATACAGTCACATCCCGCCTCCCAGGCGCCTGCTTGTCTTTCCAAGGCTTTCCCAGGACCCTAAAGTCCAGGCTGCGAGCCCCTCCTGCTTGGACACAGGAGTCCAGACCCCCAAGCCCTTTGCACCCTCGAACCCAGGAGTCGGGGCCCCAGCCCCCTCCTGCTCCCCCGGACCCAGGAGCCTGGGCCCAGGCAGACAAAGACCCCGGGCCCAACCCGGCAGGGCTGCAGCGTTCAGGACCCTCATAGGCCAGAACCCCAGCGCAGCTCCCCTCCATGTGGCCAGACAAAGGGATGGAGGCGCCGGGTGAGAAAGGTCCCCCCTCATTTCCAGCCCTGGACCCCAAACCTCCGAAGGCAACATCCTGAAGCTTCAGGACGCACCACGGCCCCCTAAACCATCCTGGAAGCCTTCCTTGCACCCACAAATCCCACATCCAAACCCGTTGGGTCACAAACACACGCGGGGTCCTTCTCGCTCCCAAATGATACAGCCCCGGACACCCACACACTCCCACAGCCGAGCCAGCGTCCTCAGCACCCCCCAAACTCACCGCGCATCTCCCCAAGCCAGACCCACACACGGAAACCCTAACTCCGGCCAAAGTTCAACTGCACACCCCCACTCGGGACCCGGTGCCCAAAGAGGGGGCAGCCGTCCCCACACACACAGCGCAGCTCCCAACTCCTAACTTCCCGTCCCGACTCACACACCCCAAAGCAGTACGGGGGCTCCCACCGGCGCCTTCCTACCTCCCGGCCTCGGCTGGGGAGCCGCCCGCGGGGCGCTGACGGGGAGAGAGTTGCCCCAAGCTTTGTTTGGGAAAAGGGGGTGGGACCGCAGGGGGGGCGGGCCCGGCGCCGGACAGCAGGGAGCGGATCCGACCCTGACAATTTTGGGGAGGGTTTTTGCTTTGGGAAAAGAGAGGTGAAGTTTAACTGGGGCCTGGTAGGTTTGGTGGGAACTCAAGACTTTGATGGTTGGGCCCCTGGGAGAAGAGAGAGTGGGGACCCGGGCCCCTGGGTCTGGGGGAGGTGGGGCTGAAGACCCGGAATCCTGAGTCTGAGGGAGGAAGGTTTTGAGGCCCGGATCTCTGAGTACAGGGAGGAAGGGATTGGGGGCCCGGCCCCTCGGGTACCAGAGAGAGGGGTCTGGGGTTTGGACTTCCGGTTCTGATGGGCGAAGGGGACTCCCTGCCTGGATTCCCTTTAATGTGGGTGTCTTGGGAGTGGAAGTAGCACAAACTAGGAAGAATTTTTCCTGTTCTGTGCCAGGAATAATTGCGAGGGTTGGGGCATAAGGAGGGGTCTTGATCTATTTCTCTACTACCGTCTCCCTGTGACCTCACCAGGGTCAAAGGTTGTGGGCAAGGTGAAGGGGAAAGTATTGGAAGTCCATGGAGGTGCTGACTCCCTGTCCAATGTGCCGCTGGACCACAGGTGGCCACAGTCCCAGGGCCAGAAACAAAGCCTCTGTGCTTGAGGGAAGAGGGACTAGGACCCGCACGCCTGGGTCCCTTAGAAATGAGGAGAGTGTTGTAACTGCCACCAGTAAATTGTATACCTGTCAAAAGTTGAACTATCTAAAGTGGTGTGACAGTTATGTTTGCAATAAAAAAAGGAGCTACTGAAGCTTATATACAAACACCTCACTGGATTTGGGTCCTTGATTTGGAGGTTTAGGGTCCTGGTTCATAGGACATCCCAGTCAACCCACCTAATAACTGTGTTTAGTGCTTTTGTTCTACCTCCTAGTTCATTGCACGATGCCTGTGGTCTTGAAAGCTTGCAAGTGGCCATCCAAAGCACCACAATTGGTCTCTATTCACCTGAAGCATCAGAGGAAGGAGTTGAATCAGGAACAGGAGGACGATCCAGAAGGTGTGGCTAATTGTCTTCATGTACAACTGCCTCCTTTGCCACCAGACCAGAACTGGATGGTGCCCAGCTCCCGTGAGTGAACAACTTGGTCAATGATGCCACAGAATCCTTGTCAAAAGGGGGGACACTGTAGAACAGAATTTGACCTTAGAGGGTGGATGAACCCCTGAAACCATGCCCTGACATTATCTAAACAAAAAAAATCCCTTGAATTTTTCTTAAAACCAAACAATAGCTTAATTAGTCAAGAATGTCTAGGGAGCTCTGGTAGCATAGTGGCTAAGGCACTTGACTGCTAACCAGAAGGCTGGCGGTTCAAACCCACCAGCCACTCCTCGGAAGGAAGATGGGGTAATCAACTTCCGTAGTGATACTGCCTCGGAAACCCAAGGAGGGGTCGCTATGAGTTGGGTCCGACTCCACGGCACATAACAACAACAACAACAGTCAAGAATGTCTGCTCTTTGAAGAACTATCTCTCTGGGATCAAATTGACCACAGCAACTCTGAAAGATTAGATAGGAACCTTAGGGGGCAGTTTACGTCGATGGGGGAGGAACAACTCAGAAAAGGTGAGAATGGTTGCACAGCTGTAGAAATGTACTCCATGTCACGGAGTTGTACCTGGGGAAATTGTTGACTTGGTGCGTCTTGGTGTGTAAATTCTCAACAACAAAATAAAATTTAAAGCAAAAATAAATGAGGGGTTGTTTCAAGCTCTGGAGACTTGAGGGGTACCTGAGAGGAAGGTCTTGGATTCCTGAGTTCCTTGGGATTTAAGGTCCCAGAAGACTCAAGTTCTGAAGAGGGCGGGACTTTTTACTGGAACTGGAGCGAGGTTCTTGGTTCAACGTCTCTACACTGCTCCCTACTGGGTGCATGAATCGTTTTAAATCCTGAAGAAAAAAAAGGACAGGGAGAAGCTTGGTGATAGAAACAGAACTACGCAGTGACGGAGCGAACAGTTTCTCACACGCCGGCATTTCCCCAGGAGAGAAGCCAGCTCCAGGCACGGACGCCAGGCCCAGGTGAGAGGGCGCGGCCATGTGCGATTGGGGCGGGACTCCAGCTGGAGGGCTGGCAACAGACAATGGAGGCAAAACTGGATCTCCAGGGCCAAGTTTGTCGTAGGGGCGTGGTCAGCCGGTAGAAGCGTGGCCAGAGAAAGCGCGTCACTGACTTAAGGGGTGGGGCCAATGACGACGGGGCGTGGCTATGCCCTTCGGGGCGTGGCTTTGTCCGTATGGGTGGGGCCATCGAATAGAGGCTCCAGATCTTGATTGAGGTTAGCATACAGGGGTGTGGCCACCTGCGATTAGGGTGAGACTCCAGCTGGGATCAAAAAATAGAGGCAAGACTGGATTTCCACGACTGAAGTCTGTCAATATGGACTTGGGCTGCCGATACAGGCGTGGCCGGCCTATAAAGGTGCGGCCAGAGGAAAAGAAAGTGCTATATAGACTTAAGGGGCGTGGTTATTGAAGGGTGGGGCGTGGTTATGTCCTAAGGGACGTGAAGCGCCAGCTCAGGGGCGTGGCCAGAGAATGGGGGCGTGGCTAGGGCTCGTGGAGCGCATCTAACGCCCCAAGTGTCTGGCCTGGGCGCGAGGCCAGAACTGTTTGGATTTAACAGTCCGTGAGCGGCCAGAGGAGTCCGAGAGTCCGGTGACTTGACTGTGGCCTAAGGCCCAGAAGACGGGGCGGGGCGTGGACAAAGGTTTGGGTAGGAGATCTGGGTAAGAGGCAGAGCCCCGGAGGAGGGGGCGGGGCCTGACTGAAAGTAGGAGGTGGGACTAGAAGGAAGGAACATGGAAGGAGGAAATAGGCCTGGCGTGGGAATGTTTCCTGGGCAAGGGGTGGAGCCTGAGTAAGGGGCTGCGCTTCAGCGAAAGGCTGGTTAAAAATGGAGGCTGTGGAAGACGAGAGCCGAGTGAGGGGTGTGGATGGGGCGTGGCCACCTCGGGGCGGGGCCTTGGTAAGAGGCGGGACCTCTGACCGCCTGCCCTTGCTGCAGCCTGGCCGCCTGCCCTACATGTGGCGCTCGTTGGTGCAGCTGCTGCAGCTCCTCGCTGTGCTGGTATCGCGCTCCGCTGCCGCCCCAATCCGCGATGGCGACTCCCAGGAGAGCTCCTTGGGCTTGCTAAGCCTCCAAAGCCTACTCCAGAGTTTCAGCCAGCTTTTCCTGAAAGTGAGCGATGGCGCGGTTGATTGAGGGGAAGAACAGATCAGAAAAGTGGGCTGGAGGAAGATGACCACGGAAGGAGTTCAGAGAGACGCACTAGGAGATGGGTCGGGACCTAGCAGGGGGAACAACCAGAAGAGAGGGAGGCCGAGAGCCACAGGGGGACGGAGAGATGGAAGGTGAAACGACAAGGAGAGAGGGACAAGGACAAGAGAGGGGAACAGAGCCGGAGAGACAGGGAGAGAAACATTAAGAAAATAACCCAAGAACCCATGCCTTTGAGTGGATTCGGACTCACAGCGTTCCTATGGTACAGAGTAGAACTGCCCCCGCGGGGTTTCCAAGGCTGCCATCTTTATGGAAGGAGTCTATCACATCTTTAGCCCCTGGAGCGGCTGGTGGGTTCAAATCGGCAACCTTTCGATTAGCAGCCCAGCCAGCGCATAACCACTGCACCACCACTCCCTATGACAGACATAACACAAACAAACCCACTGCCACTGAGTCAGTTCCTACTCACAGCGCCCCTAGAGAACAGGGTGGAACTGCCCCATAGGATTTCCAAGGCTGTAGGGGTGCAGTGCCTAAGGCATTTGACTACTGACCAGAAGGCTGGCGGTTCAATCCTACCAGCCCCTCCCTGGAAGGCAGACTGGGCAATCTACTTCCGTAGTGATGTTGTTGTTGTTATGTGCCGTCGAGTCGACCCCGACTCATAGCAACCCCTCCTTGGGTTGCTGAGGCAGCATCACTACGGAAGTAGATTGCCCAACC